GGGTTCAATCTTATTTTTCTGTCCAGGTAGACAGACAGATACAGATATAGATACATATAATTTGAGTCTTTTCAATATTTGGTTAAAATTCTTTGTTTTAGTCTCATTTTCTGTCTCATTGATTAAATATACTTGTGTGAAAAATATTCTTCACAGTTGTAACTTATCCGACTGTATTTTGTATCCTATGTCTTATGTCTGCTAGGATTTATGAATACTAGTTTCTATGGATACGATTATGTTATCCAAAAATAAAACATGATTTAGAAAAGGAATAGAGTCAAATATATTGATGACAATACCAGTTTTAGAAATACAATCAGACATCTTAATTCACCTCCATTGAGTGATATTTTTTAAAAGATAAAGGAAACCCCTGGATCTAGAAGACCATCCCCCGACCCCCACCCCCACTACTCCTGATTCGCGTGGTTGAAGAATCAGATTCCAGACACGAAAGCCTAGGGCACTGCCAGGCCCCTGTCCCGATCTTACGTGCTGGACGTCCAAGCGACAGCAGATGCTCCTGTATGACCCTCTGCCAACAGAATTTACCCTTTTATATCTCTTGTGCAATGTGTTCCTCTTCCCAAAAACAGGAACTGTGCATAAGGGAAGTTGTGACCACACATGTCATTATAAACGGACCCCTTCCCCATGCGCAAACTAGTGCAGTGACCGCACAGCCCAAAAGCAGATTTGCTGTGAATGAGATTATGTTTTGTGACCAGAATGTCTGGAGATTTGTTCCTTGGGGGAATCTTCCTGGTAATAAACATAAACAACTGATGGGTATAGAACATTTGCTACAGAAAAACCTTTACTTGTTACCTCGTAACAAATACTTCCTACTTAGCCTAAGCCATGAGGTAGGTGTTACTATTATCCCCTGTTTGAAAAATGCAAAATGTGGGGCCTTTGAATGACTTCCAGTTAAAGGCCAACAGGGTTTAACCCAGATCGGTCCACAGGCAAGCCCTGTACTGTCCCTCAATTTTGTCCCCGTCGGAGGAGGTCAGATTGGAGCTGCTGGTGGTGACACAGCTCCTGAGCACTGTGTTAGGCAAACAGGCTTGGGGGCGAAGGCAGGGCTGCTGCACATCCCCCAGCGCCAGCGGCGGGTGGCATCTCAGCAAAGGCTGCGGCAGCATCTGCCATAGGACCCTGGGGACCACTCCCACGGGAAATTCTGCCTCTGGTGCTTTATTTACAGGGAGCAGAATCCTCACACACCCTTTTTTTTGCCCATGAAGGGGTAAGTAGACTCACAGCTTCAAGAAACACCCAAGGGTGTGCAAACTTAAACTTTTAAAGGTGCAACGTTTTAACTATTCTTGCAGAATGGGCTTCAGCTCTGACTGTAGCGTCCACTTGGTCTGCTCCTTATTTCATCACAGGTCCCGTAGCCGGCCCTTCCGCCAACGCGCACGTCCTGACCTGACAACTCATCCGTGATCAGCACGACTGACCCTTTCGGATGTGTTCCATCTTTATTTAGTGAAAAGGTTCCATTTTTCTTCTTAATTAAGGGAAAAGATAATAATAAAAAATGGTCCTTAAAGGTCTTTGGCTCTAACATCACTGAAAAATATTTAGCACAGTCAGTTCTGTCTGAGCTCAGGCGGCCGTAACAAAATACCATAGACTGAGTGGCTACAAGGAGAGAAATCTATTTTCTCGGGGGTCTGGAGGCTGGAAGTCCGAGGCTGGGGTACTGGCAGGGCTGGGTCTGGGGGAGAGTTCTCTTCCTGGCTTGCAAAAGGCCATCCTCTAGCCATGGGCTCACAGTCCTGTCTGGTCAGAACCTCTCCCTTATGACCTCATTTATCCTAAGCACATCCTAAAAGCCTTAGCTCCAGACCATTCCTACCCAGGGTAAAAACTTCATCAAATGACTCTGGGGAGACACAATTCAGAGCCTCAGGAGATAAATATTAGGAGACATTGCAAGCAATTGGTTTATATGGTTGCGCAGCTCACTGGACAAGCCCGAAACCCACAGACCAGGCGCGAGGAGCAGCAGACCCGGCTTCTAGGGCAGGACTCGAAGCGGCTGTCCCCAGGCAATGTCACCAGGAAATCCTCAACACTGCCTTCCGTCTTCCACCTGACTGAATCAGGCCCACCTGCGTTATCCAGGATAATCCCCCTACTTCTGTATTGTCTTCAGTCACACCTACAGAACACCTAGATTACTGTTTGATTGCATAATCGGCTGGCACTGTGTCAGGTTTACATGTGGAACCACCATCCTGGCTTATAAGCCTTCCCTTCACCCTGCAGAGGGCTAACAGGCACCACGTGAGACATGGGGCCACCTCTTGGCCAGAATGTTAACGGGGCCCTGGTCACCTAAGGAAGCCTCAGACGGGTCATGAGCCTGGCATCTGGCGTAATCACAAGCCTCCAGGTGCCGCCAGTGAAATCTGAGGAGTAATTCTCCTCCGGTCTCCCCTTGCAAGGCCACCGGAAGGGCTCAGTGAGCCATGCACACAAAGATATTCTGAAAAAAATTCTTACACACATATAAGGGAGTTTTGTTTTTGCCACTGTTAGTGTTGGTATCAGAGAATGCGTGCATGTTATTCTGGGAACAAGGACTTCCTGGGGCACTTGGCAGCGGCTTCTTCACCAGAGTGAACTCCTGGCTCTCTGCTGCTTTCGCTGAGTTCCACATGTCTCTAAATTTAACCAGTGTCACTCAATTCGACCCATATCCTTATCTTAAATAGCCGTCTATTTCAGCATGTATTTTTCTCAACGGGTGAAATGAAGAAAAAAGTCTAGACAATTATTTCATTGATGCAGATTTTCAAATAATCTAAAATGATGCTATTGCTTATCAAACAAGCAGCCCCTCAGAATTCAGCGATCCTGGCTGGAGAACGTGTGTGAACAGTCTCTTCCTCAGGAACTCACTGCAACTTGTCCAAGATCTATTTTCATTCCAAAACGTACAATCCCCTCTTGGGATGAGGAATGGGATTTCAGGCAATGATCTTAGCCACCAACTAGAACCCTGCTCCAATTCCCACACTGAAATCCCAAATCTCAGGTATCTAAATGAGCAAAACAATTATTATGCTTTGTGGTTTCTGCTACAAAGACAAATACATATACAAGTTTTATTTTATACATTTTTATATTTTTTACATTATTTATTTCTATTTTTTAGTATTGTATTTTATATATTTATGTTATATTATGCAGACATAGTGAATCTTTCTAAAGTAGTGAGTGTCAGTAGAAAGCAAAGAGCAGAATACCACGCATGATTATGCAAGTCATTGGTCAATTTTTCCCAATAATACACAATTCGATGCATGCCAAGCAAGACTCAAGCTGCCTCTGCACATGGATCGGCTTCACTGGGCGCACAGACCAGCACAAAGAACGAAGAGCAGGAGGGATGGTCGACCTTCCATTTACCATTTTCACATCATGTGTCTTTCAATTCAGAAACTTAAAGATGTGCAAAATTGTACATTTAAACATACAGATGTGATATGTAAACATCACCAGAACCTATTGATATTAAACTAATAAAGCCAAATCATTCGAAAGTTTGTAAATATCAGAGCAACATGATCACTGGCCCTTCAGTTATCACATTGACACAGCTTTATCAGTTGAATCGGGTATCAACCATCCTGTGAAAATTACACGCGGTGGTTAAAATGGTCCAAAATCATGAGGCAAGTCAGTAATCGAAAGCTACCGGATTCTCAACGTGTTCCCAAAACCCCTGCACCAGCCCTCCTGTGTGGGCCACATTTCTCTGCTTTCCATCACGCATCCTAACAGTCAGAAACAGAGCATTCTGAAATACACGATGACTGCTTCTCCGTTCAGTTCAACTGTCCGTGCCAGGGGACAGAAAGAAACTATCTTAACAAAAGAACTCTGATGAGAGAGAGATTTGCCAGTGAATCATCCTTTGACTGTTGACCATCACAGTTTGTAAGCTATTTACCTTGTAATCTCTTTATTTTCTGTCTTTAAAGTGCCCTATTGTAGTGTAGCAACAGTCTGTTAGAGCAATTTTAAGGAGCAGCAAATCTTTGAGAACAATTTTCCATATTCAGAATTAAAGCATGCTTTACTGGTTTTTTTTTTTTAAACAAAAGCTCTAACAGGATAAAATCTTCATCCTAAAACCACAGGAATCAGTAATTTTCTCTGCTTTGTGTTTGTCTTAAAATAAATGTTTCTTTCTCCCCTGTGAAAATCAAATGAGCTCTTTGATATTTTTCCCATTTCGTCTTTATGTTGACAGCATGCTATTGGTCAAAAAAAAGAAAACAACTGAAGAAATGCCTCTCCCCATTACAACAATAGTAGCGACAAATATCTATCTGCCTTATGAGAAATAATTTAGCTAGTTTTCCTCAGGGAAATGGACTATCTTTGCTGGAAATTAATTTTGATTAATAATTATTTCAATTCTATGAAATTAAGAGGTAGGCCACTTGCCTAATTTTCTGTTCTCAAGTGAAAACATCTATGTTGATCCTTTCTTTCCCATGTATGTATCCTGGACCTACTCAGCTCTCTCTGGGAAACTGTCCTATTGGTCACATAAATTTCTTACTAGGACACAATGGATATTTCAGATAAGGAAGGATTTCACTGAAACAGCACAGTCTTTCTAAATAATGAGTAAATGTGAAATTCAACAAAAATTTGAGGACACTATCCTTAATATCACTATTTATTAACATTGTCAAGAGCCATGAAGGGTCAGAGATTTTACTCTACATGCAAGCTGGCAAGTTAGCCTGCCACACGTTCATGGATGCTGGCAGAAGACCTAAGACTCATGAGTCAGAGCTAAGGGTGTTTTATTACTCACAGCGAGAGCGTTAGGCAGAGGATCAGCATTCATGCTGGTTTCCGGAGTCCCAGTTCCCACAAGGTGGAACAATGATGGTCATTGTGTTAAAGGAGAAGAACCTCAAGTTTAGGGAACCCCAATATTTTATAAGGGGAAGTAATCCTACCTGAATTTTGTCCCAAAGAGAGATGTTATCTTCGTTGTACCAAACAATTCTTCCCTTTGCTCCAGAAGGAAACACTGCTTCCATCTTCCAAGGCTTTTTGCTTTACAAATATCCTTGAAAACATAATCCAGAGCAAAGGCCGTTAGTGCCTCTACTCACCAAGCAGCAAACATGCAAGAGGCTCATGGAGGGTTGTCTGCCAGCAATTTGCCCTTTGGGGTCGTTTTTCCTCATTTTCTCACTAAACCCACATTTAGATTTAAATATCTTTTAAATTGCTACATTTGTTGAAGTCAGTGTATTAAAATGAAGCTAAACTTGATAATAGGGGGAGTCTCATAACCACATCCAGGAGCTCTAGCACATTTAAAGGGAGGCTGTTAGGGCAGAGGGTGGGAGCCAGAGGCTGGGCAGAGGTGAGCCAGAGATGTGAGCCCAACTCAAATCACAAAGACTTCTTGGGGTAGTTCCGAAATGTTGATACACACACATACGAAAGAATTGAAGGGTAGCAATCTGGTTAAAAGGAAGCCCTGGAAGTTTTGCCTTGATACCATGTTTGTAAGCAAAAGCAATGTGTTTACATAGATTTTTACTGGAGAGAACCTTCAGTACTATGCTAAGGTGTTTGCATTTATCCTAAAAATGTGTGGAGGGGAGAGATGTTCATGATCACTGGCAAAACCTGATGGGAGGAAAGTAGACAGAATTGTCAGGAAGACCAGGTGGCTATGGCCATAAAACTGATGAGAAATTCTAAGGAGAGGTATTACTACCTTTATTACTAGCATGAAAAAAAGAATGGATTCAAGAGGTTTTAAGGAAGTAGAATCTATAGGACATGATGACCGATGACAGCAGGGGTGCCCGGCTTCTCTGACATGGCTGTTAGGTTGACGGGTGACAGTGATGAAACGGTAAGAACAAGAGAAAGGGAAGTTTTGAGGGCAGGGAGGTAGGACGGGTTCAGCTCTGAAATGCTGCTTCTCCGTAACAGACAAGTTTTGGGTTCCGGTCATGCTCTCCTGTCCAGCTGATGAACGCCAAGTTGGAGAAGCCCAAGGTTTTCCTCATTTTAAAAACCTCTCATTCTTTGTCTATAGGTGACAGAGAATTCTGCAACTCTCACCTCCCCAGCTGTTGGGCTTCTCCATCCAAAAACTCCAAACCAACTCACTTTCTCCCCTCCATTTTTGGGGAAAAAAATCTCAAGTTGTCAAAACCTAGTTGTTTAGTACATTAAACAATATCCATAAATCAATTTCAAATAAAAGTTAACCAAATTGAAGGTTAATGAAATGTATTGGGATGTACTCTATGCACTGGTTTATTTACATTATCTCAATCTTCACAAATATGGGGTAGTTACTAGTATTTTTCTCATTTTACAGCTGATGAGGAACCTACGGCTTAAGTTATAGAACAAGGACTCAAACTCCAGTTCCTCACACCCAGAAATATGTTCTTTAACATTTTCCCATGTTCCGCATACAATTTCCCTTCAAAATTTCTAAAAGACATAATGTTTTGCCATTTCAGTCTTGTTCCATTTAAATGTTCTAATGTTGTAACTCCACTCAAGGCTGAAGCCACGTAAGGTCTGTAAGCCTGGCAACACCAGCAATATTCAAGGGCCCACCTCCAGCTTAGGCCGCCAGGCATTTCTTTCCCAATGGGAAGGAATACATTCCTTATGCATCCAAACTTTTCTCTCTAACTTTGTTTCTAATTCCTTCCCAACTAAAGGAAATGGGACCAGTTTGATAGGGCCAAATTCATCTAATACTAGTACCAAACTCATAGGGCCAAATTGGTGTAATATTAGTCACCTATTTATTGGGTACCTATGAAATGTAATATCCTGTGCTAGAAACTTTACACACACCATCCCGTTAAATGCTCACACATGAGGTGTCACAAGCTTATTTTGCAGGCGATGAAGTTCAGAGTGGCTAAGGAGCTTGCCATGGTGCACACAGCTATGAAGTGACTGAACCTGACTTCAGACCACACCTGGGTGACCCTACGGCCACTTATGCGGGCTTGTAGCAATGACTCACATCTCAGGGCAGTGTTTCTAAAACTTACACATACACTTGAAAATATAATGAAGAAACAAGATGGGATAAAATATATACATAATATGTAATGTAAAATATATAAAATGAAAAATATAAAGTAATAAGAACACAGAAAACTTGAAAATAGAATAATGGCAGTTTTCATGTTTGGTGCCAACAATTGGCTTTCTTCAATCTGTTTGTAAAGTGCTATGAATAAGAGAAAGAAGAGGAGAAAGAGGAAAATAAAAGGAAGAGGAAGGAATTAACCATGAGGCAAGACTGTTCTTTCCTTTTACTGCCCTCCCGGGACCTTCTTTCTACAACTCTACTCGCAGCTCCTACGCGAACCTGTGTCCTTTGTCTTAGTCGCTACACTTCGCCGCTAACTTGCATTGTCACTTGACTGGATTTATGTTTAGAGTGAGCTGTCTACAAAAAAAAAAAATGACATTTTAGGTCAAAACATATCTGACTGAGGACCAGAAAGTTCCATTACTACATGGTAGTGCCACTAACCTGACACAAAGAAATGGAATCAAAGCAACAAGATGGAAAATGCACTCCCATTGGGCAGACACGCCTCAAGTAAAACAAAGTTGCCTCTAAATTTTTTAAGTAAAGTAGTTTTCTGACCACATCATGCCCACCCACCACTACTGTAACAACCCCTCAGTGAACGCTGGCTGAAAGGTTAATGTGCAATTGGCACCTAATGAAAAAGATCAGTACCACCCTCCCTGGCAGAGCCCCATTAAAACTGAGGCTCCACGGGACTGAATGCTGTCAGGTTTTAGAGGAAGGAAACTAAGGATGTGATTTGTAGACTTGGTGTCAAAAATGACAAATGACCCTTTGCTTTAACTTCAACTTGCTTTTGTACTTAGGAAAAAAAATCTCCCAATTTGAACTATTTTCTTAAATTTCTTTGTAGTGTTTTATAATGTTGATTTTTGTCACTTACTTTTCAAGGTCTCTGTAATTTATTTTCATACATAATTAGATAAGAAAATAAACTACTATGTTTCTCCAAAGAACTAGCCAAACTTCCCAGTACCAGAATGTTGTAATTTGATAGAATTATAGATACTTATGTGCAGGTATAAAGGCATAAAGACATAAGCCAACATAAATCTGTGCTGTCTTTGACTTAATTCAGATGTAAAAAATTTAGCTTTTATATGATTTACCAATTTACATTAAGTCAATATTATTAACTATGTAAATATAAATGGTTCACATTCAAATATTTTTATGTTCTATGGCAGGAGTGAACACAGAGTGAATTTAGTAACACTAGGCAATTCATTGTCATGGACATAATCCAAGAACAATCCAGAGTGCTTATCTATCAATCATTACTTTCAAGATTTGGCATCCTACTCTATTAAGTGATTGTTAAATATAAAACTTAGCAATGGATAAAAACTAACATTTCTGACTTCTACAGTTATGAAATGGGAAATAAAACACATAAAGAGATATAGACCCTTGGGGAAAAAATAGTGAATATCCATAATCTCATAGCCAAGTAATATGCAATACAAATAATTCTCAGCTCCTACGCGAACCTGTGTCCTTTGTCTTAGTCGCTACACTTCGCCGCTAACTTGCATTGTCACTTGACTGGATTTATGTTTAGAGTGAGCTGTCTACAAAAAAAAAAAATGACATTTTAGGTCAAAACATATCTGACTGAGGACCAGAAAGTTCCATTACTACATGGTAGTGCCACTAACCTGACACAAAGAAATGGAATCAAAGCAACAAGATGGAAAATGCACTCCCATTGGGCAGACACGCCTCAAGTAAAACAAAGTTGCCTCTAAATTTTTTAAGTAAAGTAGTTTTCTGACCACATCATGCCCACCCACCACTACTGTAACAACCCCTCAGTGAACGCTGGCTGAAAGGTTAATGTGCAATTGGCACCTAATGAAAAAGATCAGTACCACCCTCCCTGGCAGAGCCCCATTAAAACTGAGGCTCCACGGGACTGAATGCTGTCAGGTTTTAGAGGAAGGAAACTAAGGATGTGATTTGTAGACTTGGTGTCAAAAATGACAAATGACCCTTTGCTTTAACTTCAACTTGCTTTTGTACTTAGGAAAAAAAATCTCCCAATTTGAACTATTTTCTTAAATTTCTTTGTAGTGTTTTATAATGTTGATTTTTGTCACTTACTTTTCAAGGTCTCTGTAATTTATTTTCATACATAATTAGATAAGAAAATAAACTACTATGTTTCTCCAAAGAACTAGCCAAACTTCCCAGTACCAGAATGTTGTAATTTGATAGAATTATAGATACTTATGTGCAGGTATAAAGGCATAAAGACATAAGCCAACATAAATCTGTGCTGTCTTTGACTTAATTCAGATGTAAAAAATTTAGCTTTTATATGATTTACCAATTTACATTAAGTCAATATTATTAACTATGTAAATATAAATGGTTCACATTCAAATATTTTTATGTTCTATGGCAGGAGTGAACACAGAGTGAATTTAGTAACACTAGGCAATTCATTGTCATGGACATAATCCAAGAACAATCCAGAGTGCTTATCTATCAATCATTACTTTCAAGATTTGGCATCCTACTCTATTAAGTGATTGTTAAATATAAAAATTAGCAATGGATAAAAACTAACATTTCTGACTTCTACAGTTATGAAATGGGAAATAAAACACATAAAGAGATATAGACCCTTGGGGAAAAAATAGTGAATATCCATAATCTCATAGCCAAGTAATATGCAATACAAATAATTCAGATAATCCTGTGCTCTTTTTTTTTTTTAGGAGAGCAAGGTACAGGCTTTTATTTATTATTTAGAAATAAAGTGTAAGGACAGAGCTCCCAGTTCACACCAGGAGGGGACAAGAGAGTCCTTATTCTGTGCTCTTTTGAAAACCAAGAAAACTGGAACTAAAAGGAAAGAAAAGATATGAGAACCACTTGCTTATAAAATATGTTTTTGTTTGCAAAATCATGACCTTTTCTTTGACCATTGTGGTAACTGTGGGGGAGAATTACCTTCTGGGGTCAGT